TCGGAACCGGGGATTGAACTCAGGCCCTTGCGCTTGCCAGGGAAACACTTATTCCACTGAACCATCTCCCAGGCCCCTCAAATGTTAAAGTCTTGCTCATCCTTAAGGGGGAGGGGTACTGAGAATCCAGGTGAGGCTTTCATGCTTGCCGGACAGGTGCTGTCTTGCCTGTCTTTTGTCAGATTTAGACTTGATGTTTTTCATGTTTGGATGATATAAATAGTTACTATGCTTTTATATATGTTTCCCTTTTTTTGTTGTTGTTAAAAAGTGGTTAAATTTTGTATGTCCATCCTAGATCCCATCAAATTTTCAACATAGATTATCACGGCATCTGTGAACAAGGGTACTGTTGCTTCTTTCTTTCAATTTTTATTTATTTATTTATTTATTTATTTATTTATTTATTTATTTTAATTTTTGGCGGAACTGGGGATTAAACTCATTCCTTTCAATTTAGATACCTAAAATGTCCATTACAGTACTCAATACAAATGTTTAGAGAGGATATCTTGTTTTGTCTCTGATCTGAAGGCCTAGTCTTTCACCATTAACCTTCAGTATTAGCATCTGTTGAAATGATCAATATATTCTGTGAACTTTTGTTAATATGATGAATTATGTTAATACATTATTTTTTACAATTTTGATTTTATTTATTCAATTTATTTATATATTGAATTTTGGGTGGATCTGGTGATTAAACTGAGGAAGGCCAGTCTTTGTTATTTTTTGAGATGGAGTTTAATTAATTTGCTAAATTATCCATTTTTTCTCCATAGTTTTTATTTCATTGTTTCTTCTCTGGTTTTTATTGTTTTTCTTCCATTTAATTAGGATTTTTTTTACTCTTTTTTTTTTTTTAAGAAGTTTCAGTAACCTATAGTGAATCCTACTCACTACATGCTCATTTCAGTTTTATGTTTTTATCTCTGTAAGTTTTACTTAGATCTTTACATATCTTCAGTTTTTTTTTTTTTTTTTCCTCTCTCCTTAGCCATCCTGGGAATTGAACCTTGGCCTTCTGTGTACTAGGTGCTACCTTATAGCTGAACAGTCTCACCAGACCCATGTCTTTATCTTTTGAAAATGTAAAATACAATCATGACACTTACTTTTTGTATGCTAAGTAAAAAATATTTGTCACTTTTGAGTTTGTTTTGGTTAATCAATTTTTTTCTCTGTCTTTATTGGTTGTCTTTTTCTGTTTCTTTGCATACCTGGTAATTTTTAACTGGATTTACAGACATCATTAATTGTTGGTTACCAGAGGCTTTTGTATTCTTACAAATATCCTTAAAGCTTTGTTCTTTAATTTAGTTAAATTACTTGCAAATAGTTTGATTCTTTTGGGCCTTGCTTTTAAGAATTGTTATACAGGATCTAAGAAATTTATAGGCCTAGTTTCTCCTGCACATTCAGTCTAGAGATTCTGTCCAGTACCCTAAGAATTACGATGTTTTCCAGACTGACTGGTGGTAGTAGGATCTCTTTCCATACAATTTCTCATGAATGCCAGATACTGCTTCCATGGATCCTTTTAGAGATTGTTTTCCCACCTGTAGTGGTTTACTTTAAATGTATATGTTGACCTGTACTCTGCTGATTCTCAAGCATCACTGCTGTAGGTCTCTGGAGTTTTCTCTGCTCAGTGCTTTGTAGGATACGCTCTTACTGTACTCTGTCTATCTTGGTGTCACACTCTTTGCTGCACCTGTTCACCTCATGGCCTTTACTAGGCTCCTCCTGGGTTTCCCCTTCTACATGCTGTATGACCTGGGGTCTTTGTGGGCTGTCATCATTTGCTTCCTTCTGTGGGGCTCTTTTCCCTCTATGCCAGGTTCCACTTTTATTTATTTATTTATTTATTTATTTATTTATTTATTTATTTGGCAGAACTAGGGATTGAACTCAGACCCTTGCACTTGCCAGGGAAGCACTTATTCTACTGAGCCATCTCCCCAGGCCCCTAGATTCCACTTATATTAGGCCACTGTTTCTCATATTTTGTCTGGATTTTGAGCAGTTTCAGGCAGGATGGGTCGGTCTCATCCCTTTTACTGCATCATGGCCAGAAATGGAAGTCCCATATATCTTTCGCATAGGGAATGTAAGAAGAGAACATTATTCCCTATGTATTCAGAAAAGAGACGATTTGTGCAGATTGGCTCTTTATGGATGGGTTGTAGAAAGAATAGTTCTCCTGTAATTTTTTTAAAGTCAATTTCTCTAGTCCTTTTTTAAATCTACCTTTTATTCACAGTGGAATTAGATTATTGTATATAATAATGTAATATAAATCACTAGTTCCGATATGTTTCACTAGAATTAGATTGAATTTAGTACATGTTGAGAATCTTCTGAAAAGATTATATGCTATTTTTCATACTTGTTTTGCCTCTAATATTATCCCATCAATACATGAAGAAATGAGATAAGGAGAACCTAGACATAATCTTTCAGTTGTCTGAATTTTTCGTTCACTAAATTATGTTCTGAAAAAGAATGTCAGAGCTTTATGGCATAGTACCGCCACAGTAAAACCAATGAGTAGTTTTATTTTGTTTTTACATTATTGCCTAGAAACTAGCCATCCAATTCTGGAAAAGATAAGTTGCAAGTTTTAAAAAGTGTAAGTTTTAAAAACTGGCAGTATGTTCTTTATTTGTAGATATATAGTGAGTATTTACCTACTGTATTTATTTTATGGTAATCCACTTTGTTCATGTACAGAAAGATGTTTCCATTCCTATTCTGTAAGCTAGGAACTTGCATGATTGGAGGGCAGTCATTTTCATTTCTCCTATTCAATTTTATTATGTATAATTTTATAGGAAATTAAAGTTACTCTGATACAGCTTTTATTGAACACATACTGAAATAGAATAGGTAATAGTAGGACCGGTGAGATAGCTCAGTGGACTACAGTGCCTGCTTAGGCAGAGCCCAGGGACTGGGGTTCCATTCCCCACACTACATGCTGTGCCAGCCCCACCCCTGGGGCATACTGGGATGGTGACTGAGACTGCATATGGTGGTGTGTGCCTGTGATCCCAGCACTTGGGAGGCTGAAAACAGAAGGATCACTACGAATCCAATCTTTGTAGTGAGACCCTGTACTAAATACATTTTTTTCCAAGTACAATAAAAAAAGAATTCAAATTTGCTCAACTATAATTTGAAAATTAAATTCTCTGTGATGGTAAGAATAAAGAGCTCAGACTTTTTTGTTTTTTGAGATAGGGTCTTGCTATGTTGTTCAGGCTAGCCTTGAACTCACAGCAGTCTTCCCACCTCAGCACCTCAGCTTCTTAAGTGCTAGGATTGCAACCTGCTCAGTTTTTTTCTTAGATTTTTAGCTACTCATTCAATAGCCTTCATAAAGGTTACTGCCAGACATTATGCGGAGCACTTTGTACACATTATCTCATTTAAATTGACTTTGGGTGAAAAGTCAGCTGTTAATCTTCACACCAGTTTTGCTTTAAAAGAGGATACATGTGTGTATGTATTAGTTTCCTACCACAAAGTTGTTTTTTTCTTTTTTCTTTCATTTTTTGGGTAGATTCCCCCATATAGTTCAGTCTGGTCTTGAACTCACTGTATAACCCAGGCAGTCCTGCCTTAGCCTCCTGAGCATTGGGATTACAGATGTGTGTCACTATTCCTGGCTTCACAAACTTGGTGATTGCAAACAACAGAAATTTATTACCTTACAATTTTGGAGGTCAGAAGATCAAAATGAGTTTCACTGAGCCTGAAACCAAGGTATGAAGAGTACTTAATTTCATAGGGAAGCGCTAAGATAGAATCTATTATCTTTTCCAATTTCTAAAAGATAGGTTCCTTGCATTCTTTGTTTCTAGCTTTCTCCTCTTTGTTCCAAGCAGTAGCTACACAACCTTTTTCTCTTCTGTAACAAAAGCTCCTCCCTCTTCTGTCCAGCCACTTCTAATTGCATTTACAGCCCACTCACATAATCCAGGACAAATCTCCCAATCTGAGGTTCCTTGATTTAATCACAAATTCTAAGCTTCCTTTATCTTCTGAGATAATATTTACTCCAGAGATTAGAATGTTAATATCTTTGTGAGACCTACCACACATTACATTTTATTTACTTATATAAAATGGGATATGTGACACTGCAAAAAATCATACAACAGTAAGATATGTTAGAAATAAACAGAGTTTGGAAAGAAGTAGAATGGATAGATTGATAGTATAAGCAAAAGATCTTGGAGTTCCATTAGTATGTTCCAACATTTTGTGTTTTTGACTGGTATTTTTTTCACGAATAGAAAGAAATAGGACATTAACCTTCAGTTTTATTCCCTAGCATATTTCTTTTAAAAAAATCTTCATTTGGTACAGGATCTCAGTAAGCAGCTCAGATTTATAGTGATCCTCCTGCCTCAGCCTCCCCAGTGCTGGGATTACAGGCGTGTGCCACGATGCCCGGTTGTGGTGGCTGGCTTGGCCCAAGGCCAGCATGACATGTGGTACCAGGGATCAAACCTGGGTCCTTGCACTTGACAGGCAAGCTTAAACCACCAAGCAATCTCCCTGGCCTCATATATTTCATCTTCTCTCTTGTCTTTTCCTTCCCTAAAAAAATCCATGGCTTAGTTATTCACAATCAGGACTTCATAAATTGAAGCACAGATTTACATAGTCTGATATATATTAATTTAGAATTACTTGGTATTTAATATTTGATCATAACCCAACACGTATTCACTCCTGCAATCCAAGTACTTAGGAGACTGAGACAGAAGGCTCAAAAATTTGAGTCCTACTATCTCTAAATAAAAAGACATGAAGGCCTTAGATTCAATTCCCATTAACTCCACCCACCCACACACATTTGGATCATTTGGTACCTCATTTGTGGTGTTTAATAATTTGTATAGTTACTGATAAATAGGTTTTAGCACAGATAGCATGTGTTTTATCATATAACTTTAAAGCTAAGTTTACATTTTCTTCCCTGACTATAGGATACCTGAAGGCCCCATGGATCAGGGGCCAGCTACAGGAAGGGTACGTGTTTTAGAAGAGCAGCTTGTTAAGGCCAAAGAACAGATTGAAAATTATAAGAAACAAACCAGAAATGGTAGGTGACCATACATTTTTTTCCTGCTCAATATATTCACTTTAATTTTTTTGTATCAAAATTTTAGAAATGCCATTATTCTTTATTTCTTAACTGCAGGTCTGGGGAAGGATCATGAAGTCCTAAGAAGAAGAATTGAAAATGGAGCTAAAGAGCTCTGGTTTTTTCTACAGAGTGAATTGAAGAAATTAAAGACTTTAGAAGGAAATGAACTCCAAAGACATGCAGATGATTTTCTTTCAGATTTAGGACATCATGAAAGGTACTGTTCTCCCTATATAGTTGATTTGGTTTAAGTAATAATTATAATCTAAGAATGAGAAACTGAAACTTCCATTAATTTCTCTGCTGAATGGTAAATGACACTGTTTAAGAAATTAAGTACTTAAGGGCTCAAAGCATGGTAATTGGGCTTGGGGAGATAGCTTAGTAGAATAAGCACTTGCCTGGCAAGTGCAGGGTCCCGAGTTCAATCCCTGGTACCGGGAAAAAAAAAAAAAAAGACGATGGTAATTGCCAAACGCAATTAATCAACCAAAACATATCACTGAAAATATTATTTGAAATGTATACTTGGAAGGTAGTGGTGTCAGCCAGCAACACATTGACATATCTTCCAATAAATAGCCTTCATTCATGGTCCATATTTGAAGCAGAATGTATAATCTTACATTGCAGTACATTGATTGAAATTCATCCTAAGGCTGCAGTTATGTTTCTATTCAAACATAAAAGCATTGGCACCTTTTTAAATGTTCCTAATTAACACGATTTGGATGAAAAGGAACATTCTGCTAATTGTTCTTCCAATTAGTTGCTAGAAAGAACCTGAGGTCTACCTACTTAAATTTGCTTTTTCTATTTACATATTTCTAAATAAGATGTGGTTTATCTTCCATAGGAAAGAAAACATTTTGGTGCTTGAGTGTTCATGCAGGATAAAATATATCTGAGAATCATTATAATACAGTGAAACCTATATTTTGGCCTATTATATTTAAAAGCCTAAGTTCTCAGTAGGATTCTGATGGCAATTACTGTCTTACTAGTGAATAATAAGAAAAAGAATGTTTTATTTATGTAGCCTACTACTGTGAAGAGGAAACAAATTACCACATGTAAACAAGAGATTCATATATATTAACATCAGCAATATTAGAATGATGATGAAAATTGCTGTGGTGTTTTAAATGAAATCACAAGCAAAATCTGTGAATTTATTGGAATCATTTTAACATTAATGATTCTATGGAAGTATATGGCATGGATTTCAAGAGCACCGAATTATTTGGCCCCAAACTAGTCAGTCTCTTTGAAACTTTTAGCCCTGCTCACAGTCATGCTATTTTAAGACTATTAGGCCAGATGTTGACTAATTTTGTCCTTAATGCCTCTCTACTCCAAAGCTGACTCTGGGCACCAAGATTGTATTAAATGGAGTTTGGTGCTTGTGTGCTTTGCTTACTGAGATTTTGTAGTAAAATTTAAAGAAAATTTGAAAAGGTAGACTCTTTGGTATGCAAAAGGAAATGTTCAGTACTACTGATGGAGTGTTTAAATAATTTAATTAGGCACTTGGGACTTTAATTTTCAAGTCTTTTCTAATTTGCTTTAATCTTTATTTATTTATTTGGCACAAGGTCTCGCTACACAGTGTAGACTCGTAGTGATCCTCCTGTCCCTGCCTCCTCAGTGCTGGGATTACAGGCATGCACTACCACCACTGGTTTTGGTGGCCAGCATGGTGCACTTGGGGTTTTGGGGCCGGCATGCCATGCGATACTGAGGATCGAGCACTGATCCTTGTGCTTGCCAAGCAGATGCTTAGACCACTGAGCTATCTTCCCAGCCCTCTTAATTTTTTTTTTTTTTTTAGGAACCAGAGCCCCCTTAATTAAAAAAAATTTTTTTTGTAAATATAATTTGTGCATGTACTTTTTTTTTAAATTAAAATTGCTGTAGATGATGATCATGTTTTCCATGGGGGGGGTTTGGTATATGTACATAATATGCCTTAATTCTTTTTTTTTTTTTCCTTTCCTTGAATTTTTTTATTGGTACATTTTATATATACATAGTGATAGCATTCATCATAGGGGAATTGTGCCTTGCTTCAAACAATAGTTTTAAGCATTTTTTTAAAAAAAGATTTAAAATTTCTGAATTTAGTTCAACTTATAATACCAGATTTCCAAGAAAAACGAACCTTTTGCAAAGACATTTAAATAAAATCATACCAAGATTGTGCATGTACTTTGTAGCTGTTTGTACAAATGGAAATTGAATAAGTAGGCCCGTGAAAAATTTATCAGTGTTACTTTTTAATTGATCTTGTTTTAAATGTATCATAATTCCTGACAGTGCCATGTAGTATATATTTAAAGGTTGTTTCACTGAAAACAAAGTGAGGAGTACAGGTACCTGAGTCAGCTTTTGAACTGCCTTAAGCAGAAATTGTAATGAATTTGGAGTGCAACTTCACAGAGTAATAATTTTAACTCCAGGAAGTCAGATTAGAAAACATTAATACAAATAATATGTAAACACAACCAAACATTATAGAAGTAACCTTTAAAGTAGTGGATTTCCAAATATAAAAGATGTATATTATATATTAAGTATCCCTTCTATTGTCCATATCCAAGATCCTTAAATCTAAGAATTAAAATTAGTAGATGTTTATGTTTCCCTCTGGTGAATTTTTTTCCTGATATTGGGGATTCAATCCAGGAAGGTTCTACTGCTGAGCTACATCCATGATCCTTTTTATTTTTTTGTGAGAGAGTCACACTGAATTGCCCATGCTGGCCTCAGACATTTGTTTATCTTCCTGTCTTAACTTCTCAAGTAGCTGAGATTGTAAATATGGGATACCATGCCTAAGGATTCCTCTGGTGTTTTTTTGTGTGATAAAAAATTCTCAAATTTACTAATTTTTTATGAATGTGCTTCTATTTTTATAATAGTTTTACAGAAAAATTGAGAAAATATTCCTCATCTTTAGTTTCACCTTTATTTACATCTTATATTATCATCATCAAATGAGTGAACATCTTCAACACATAGTTAACATTTCTGTGTGTATATGAAAGAGAAGAGAGAGTAGACCTTTAGCATGTGCTCTTAGCAAATTTTATAGTATTAAGTATAGCCATCATCATGTACATTAGATCCCTAGAAAATTCTCATCTCACAACTGAAAGTTGATACTGATTGACATCTGCCAATTTCACTCACTGTTGTGACAGGGACCTGGCCAAGATCCCCACCTGCCTGTCTGAGGGGTATGAGGAATGATAAAGAAAAACAGAGATGGATTTGGTAATGCCTGACAGGGGACCTGGGAGGTCAGTGCCTCAGGATGGACAGAGACAATGATCCTCTGAGTTAGCACTTTTTATTGGTTGCACACAATAATCCGAGGGAGTACCGATGACTTAGAGGGCGCTGGTGATCTTAAACTAATGAGGATTCTGTTCTAGAGGATCTAATAGTCTTAAGTCTTCGTAGGAGTGAGAGGGTGGCCCACTCCTAATGAGATCGTGGGAAATCTCAAAAGGGAGATACCAATAATACCAAATTTCTGTTTATCCCTTAGGGAAGTGTGTAAAACCAGCCATTGTGAATCTGTGGTCCTCAGCACTCCTAAGCCCTGGCAACCATTATTTTGCTTTATGCATCTATAAAATCAACCATTTTAAATTTCATGCATAGCAGTCTTTGTTTTTCTCTGGCTTATTCATGTAGTTGCACAATGCCCTCCAGTTTCATCTGTGTTGTCACAAATAGTAGGTGTTCCTTCTCCTAGTGGAATGAAGATCCACGTGTACACCACAGTTTGCATTTTCTTTATCTATTCATCAAGTGTGCATTGTGAATAATGTTGTAACAAACATGGGAAGGAAGATGCCTATTTGAGATACTGACTTCATTTCCTCTGGATATATACTCAGAAGTGTGAATGCTGACACTAGCTGTCTAGGAACTTTCACTATGTTTTCAGCAGTTCTTATGGCTTGTATCCAGATGCCCCCCCTTCAAAGTCTTACACATTCATTGGTGTGATTTTTTGGAGCTGGCTGGATCTAGAGTGTATGACCCTGAGATCAAGAGTGTGTGATAATAATTAAGCCTATTGATTGGAACTAGCTACTTCTGGGTGTGGCTGATGGATATACTGAAAACAGAATCCCCACACTGGGTGTAGCTGGTGCCACCTAAAAGGTTTGTAGCCAGCATGGAATATAAAGGGACAGAAGAAGTTGCTTTGCTGCTTGCTGCCTTCTGTTCATCACACTGTGGACTGTTTTCTCCTCAGCCATATTTCTCTGCCATGCTGCCCTGCTTGGAGCCAGCTGACTGTGGCCTGAAGCCACTCAAACTGTGGGCCAAAATGAACGTTTCTCCCTTTAACTTGTGGTTGTCAGGTATTTTGTCCCAGCAACAAGAAAAATAACTAAGACACCAGTTACATTCCCAGGAACACTAGATAGGGGATCCCTTTTGTGCACGCCCTTCAATACTTGTTACCTCTTGTCTTTATGATAATGGGCCTCACAGGTGCGAGGTGATACCTTCTGGTTTTACTTAGCATTTCCCTGATGAAGAGTGACTTCAAGCATCATTTCATGTACCTATTTTCATTTGTTTGTCTTGTTTGGAAAAATGTCCACTCAGGTCCTTTTTCCATTTTAAAAATGAGGTTGTTTATTTTACTATGAGTTCCTTCTGTATTTTGGGTATTAACTATTATAATGTCTGGTTTACAATGATTGTCTGGTTTATTCTCACTTAACATGATCTCAGAGGGCATCAGTTTTCCTACAAGTGACTTGTATCCTTTATGGCACAATCGTACTCCATTGTGTATAAATGGCTGCATTTTCTTTATGCATTCATCTGTTTATGGGTATGTAGGAAATTTTTAAGATTTAGCTATTATGGAGTTGTGCTGCTGTAATCATGGGTATGCATATGTGACGCTAATTGAAATATAAGCTAGAAGGAGGATACTAGGTCAGATGGCATTTCTATTATTAGTTTCTTGAGGAATCTCCACACTGATTTTTATAGCGATTAGACTAGTTTACATTCCCACCACCAGGGCAATAATGACCAAGTGTTGCCAGCTTTTGTTATTGTTTGATTTATAGATTATAGCTATTCTTTCTGGGCTAAGGTAGCATCTCAGTATTGTTTTAATTTGTATTTCTCAAATGACCAGTGATATTGACCATTTTTTCATGTATGTATTTGCTGTTT